GATTATGAGGAGTATATTGTGCTCTCCATCCTCGTCTTCCAGTTCAGAGGGCTGAATACCCTGCGGATACTTGGACTGGCTATAAAAGACTGAGGCAAAGAAGGCATTAAGTACCTCAGCCTGCAGTTGTACTGCTACAACTGTTTGTACAGCTGTCTGCTAAAATGGTTTAGTGGAATTTATTGTAAAACCAGCAAAACCACCTGTGAGTGCATGGAGCTATGTGCAGGAATGGGGGGCCAGAGGCTGAGATGCTGCCAAGGAAATGGCAACATGTTGACTTAAAACAGGAAATCCCATGGGTGGCAGCAGTCGTTACTCTCTAGATACACTTCCTTGCTTTGCATTATTGTGAAAAGAAGGTTTTATCACTACTCTTTAAATCACGTTTATCATGACAACAGCAGCTGTTTTAGGATAGCATTTGCTTACAAAAAATGTTTGTTGTTGCTCTCTTAGATTCTTAATATGGCTTATCTCAATATGGGCTTCCTCCATGCAGTATTTCTAAAGGCTTCCTTGTGTCCTTTGTTTAAACCTATAAGGTAGCAGTGTGCTCAGTTGCAGGACCCTCAAACTTGCAGAATTGAGGAACTGGGAACAGTTTTTGCTAATGATTTGTCATTGAGAGTTCTTGCTAACTTCCTGGCTAACATCCTGTTAAGGTGGGAGATATGATTTCCTACATAGTGACCTGATGTTAGCATCTGACTTATCTTTGCTGTGTCTGCAGACTCAACGTTCCATGTAAAGAACTGAATAAGAACATTATGGTCATCATAAGATACAGAATTACCCAAAGGAAATGCTCCTATTGCTTAACGTTAAGCGAACAATTTTTATCTTGTGATGGCATAGGTGGCTTTTATCAGGTTTTTTGGAAACAGCCCTTAAAACTTCTTTTACTTTTGTTAGCGTCATTTTGGGGTGGTGTGGATTTGGGGGGGGGGGGCATTGTTTGTTTTTTTGTTTGTGGTTTTTTTTTTTCTTTCCTGTCTACATACCGAGACAAATGTGGTAAGATATTGTAGTTTAATTATAGTTAATTTTCATTTCATATTGAAGCTGTGTAACAAATTCTGAAGTAATCCTTGGAGGATATAAAGATCATATGGGATTCTCTTTCCGTTTACACTTAATATATTCTCAGTAATGGTATTAAAATTTAATTTAAGTTAGGAATGGTGTTAGGAATGCAAAAGCACAATGCATGCTTTGAATTGTTCCCCCATAACAATATGAATAAACATAGAGGAATTCAAATAGCTTTAGTTTCTCACACATTGTCATTTTGTTAGGTAATGTAGTTCCACATCTTGTTCATTGCCTCTAATGTTTTAATGGTTTTTTACTTTTTGCAGTTTTGGCAGAATTAATTGAAAAGTTCGTGTCACATCTTTCTGAAAGCCAATTGGATTGTTATTTCAGCATGGGAAACTATAAAGGTCAGTTTCCTAATAATTTATTGCCATGCAGCCTCTTCCTATTTAAATTACTTTCCTTTTAAATGTATCTGCAGTATTTTGGGTGTTGTTTAAAATGTTCTTTAACAATTCAGAAATTCATTAGTTAACTAGTGGGAAATACCTCACTTCAGAGCAAAAGATGATGTCCTTGAGTATAGATAATTATTAGTGATGGGCTCTCACGTTTCTGTATGTATAATGGAAAGATGGAGATGCAGAACAGGTGAGGGTATGATTCCAAGTATTTGTTAACACCTATTATGGAATGATTTGCAAAGATGGTAACATAAACATTTAAGATGATGTAAGCAATCTGGCTCACCTTTTGAAAGCTCCATAATATATAATCAACCCAAAAGTATGCAATTTATGTTACATTAAAGGATGTGTATTAAACAACTGCTGTTGCTGGCAGAGTAATCTGCAAAATTAGAAGTTCGAGAAGCATTGTTCATATCTGCCGGAAAATGCACTTTCATTATTTAGAAAAACCCAGGACTTTTCTCTTAAGTTGTAGTTCAGTCATTTAGGGTACTTATTCTGCCACAAACTCTGAAGAGCCAAGTCTGCTTTGGGGAGAATCTGTTATTTATACTGATACTTTAATCTCACATCCATAGGATGCAAATATAGTGTCCTTGGAGACTTCAGACTTGCCTTTGAAGTTTCAAAGCATAAAAGCCCTTTATTAATTTAGAGGATCTCTTTCTTTTATGTAGTAGCCTTTACCTTCTGAATGCTTGCTAATGGAATACTCTTAATTTTATTTGAGAATCTCTCTCTTTGCTTAATGAAGAGTTGTAGAAGTGACAGTTCTTTCTGTCACTATTTTATTTTTCCTTGAAAGATCCTTAAAGTTTTTTCTGTTGTCCTGCATTAGTTTGTCATTTACTTTTCAACTTCTCAGGAGGCACAATGAGCAACAAAAATATTTTCATCAACTGGTAAGAGTTGCGATTTACATATTTCTGACACTTCCCAGTTCAAATGATGATTTTGATGGTCCCTTTAAAAACCCACATCTTCATGATGTATTTGATACCTAGACTGCCCCTCTTGCTCCTCTCTGTACATCTCTCTTTTTAGGTTGCAGTTCAAAGTATCATGCATTCTTGAATGATATGGAAAGCCCAGGTGTAGTTTTCTGCCTTGGGGAATGCCTATCTCTCATTTCTTTGGAGAACAATGTAGCCTGCAGACCTAAATTTTCAGGTTATCTTAGTGTTTCATGTTAGAAAAACAGGGAAAACTGCTTGGTTTGAATAAAGGAACAGCTGACTAGAGGAGGAACAAACATCTAACTGCGCAACCTCCCAGTGGATGTCTTGCCCAGCAAAGACAGCGTCCTGCTGTTTCTTAATCATAACAGCGAAGTGCTTCCATCTAGTGTGGAAGGACCCTAATGAAGGGAAGCAGTAGTCCATACTCTGTTCACTTAGGTGTTGAGTACCTTAGTTTCAATCTACTCTTGTCTAACTTTTGTTCAAAGCTAGGATTTAAAACGTTCAGGAAGGTGGAACCTGGCTCTTTTACTTCGTCAATGTGTGGTTTCACCATGAACCATTGATTAGGTGGAGTTGGCAACATTGGAGTTGGCAAACACTACATTATTTCTCTAAATATAATCTTATTTATCTAAAATTTAATGCTAGATTGAAGAAGAAACACCAGGTTTGAAATTCCTGTGACAATTTGCATATATTACATTAAGTGTTTAGAATGGAAAATCTCAAAGAATAGGTACAGAAACAAAACAAAGATAACATAGTAAACACCTTAATTGTTGGTTTTCTTGAGCTTGACAGATTTTCTTTCCATGATAAACTAACCTAGGTTGTATGACATTCCTTTTTGTATTTTCTGTTTTTCTGTTCATTCAGTTTTATACAGGCACTATTGGACATTACTTCTGGATAAGTTTGCCTGCTCAGTTCTCAAATAAAAGTTCCAAAATGTAAAGGGTTGGCTAATGAACAATTTTTATTTGCAAATGCTTGTGATATTCCCATGTGCTTTAATGAAAACAAGTTTGGAAATGGGAGAGTGAGAAGCCTTCTCAAGGATAGTCAGTAGTCTGGTGGTAAGAAACTGGTGTCAAATATAGGTGAAGGCGTCTTAATGCTTTCTTTCCCTGTCAGCAACACCATTGTCACAGATGCTTTTTGTGAAGAGTTTTCCAGTCCAGAAAACAGTGTTACTCAGGCAAACAGCATATGTTTCATCAAGGGTTTATTTTTAAGTTTTATAGGAAAATAGTTATTAAAATTTCATAGCACCTTTTTCAGATAGGTGAAGCAATGAGTTTTGTCCAGGGTAACTATTTTAGACATGCTGATTGACATGAAAGTGAAACAAAAATCTGGTTCTAAAATTGAATATATGATGGTACTCCACTCTGCAACAGTAAAAGGTCTTGATTGTAAGAATCAGTTGTATAGCTAAATTTACACTCATTTCTGGCTCTTTTTTACATCATAAAACGTACAGTGTGGCATTCCTATGAAGACAGGGGATGGGCTTTGAGAACACAGAGTCTGTATTATGCATTCCATGTTTGTACAAAAGGGACAAATAAAACACACTCACATCTTTATCAGACCTTATTTACTTAAAATTAGGTTTCTCATTCTGTCACTGATTGAATAGTGGTTGATCAGATTTGTATATATTTCCCAGGATTTTCTGCTAATGTGTATGAAGGGTTGGAATTTCTCCAAGGAGAAAAATTAATTATTGAATGCCATGTTATTTCACAGTATCTTTTCCATATCCATATGTGTAAGCACTACTTAAGCTAAATCCTAAACCTACTGTTACAGTAGAGGCATTTTCTGAATAGGTAAAGCTAATGAACTGTTAGAAGGTAAACTATATTCCAGATGCATCTTTCTGGCTGCACATCAAAGTAAGCCAAACATGTGCTTGGCTGTCGCATGTGGCCACCATTCTCTTGAATAAATTTGGGTCTCAGGAACTGAAAAACAGTTTCTAACAGTTGTTTAATTTTAATGAAGAGAAGCCACAATTTTCATGAAAGTGAATTCAGTACAATGCATAGATATTCAGTGTTTATCATGTTTCTTGAAATGAGAAATTGATTATCTTAAAAAATGTCAACTTTCTAAACCTGTAGGTAGTTGTAATTAGAATAACAGAGTCATCCATCTGCTGTGGAGGCCCTCGGGATTTCAGTCTATTATAAAATTTGCAAATATGGAAAAATCAAATTAGTTTGGGTTGTTATCATTTTCAAGATATGAGAGAAGGAAAAATATCTGATAAAACACTATGCAGTTGCAGTGTTTAATTATAAATAGCAACACAAATCTTCCTTGAAGTTTACTTTCTGCTAGCAGCAGTGATACTGCTGTGATGTGGAGGCAGATGAGTAAAATAGCATACAATATATACGTTAGAAGTTAATGAACCCTGTCTGTCCTCTTTTCCAGTATTAATACTTTCTAGTTCACTTTCGTTTTTCTTTCTTCTTAAAAAAAACCCAAACATAATCATTGAAAACCAAATTATTGATGTCTGGCTGTAATAGGCAATGGGATGGCAAGAAACTGAAATTCGCTATGGTAGTAAAATAGGAATGACTCGTTAAGGACATGAAGTTCCTAAAATAGCCACTTGTTGTTTCTGTTGGCAAATGCCAGTTCATTGCAACATAAATGCTTTGTGGAAATGTCTTAGTTTTCTCAAGGTTCCAACAAGCCCATTTCTCAGAGAGTCTCACTTGCAGAGTCATCTACTATGTAAGTATCTGGACTTCTTAATCGGTCTCCTCTATGTGCTGCAGACTGCCCAGCCTTGGGAATGCTATGACCTTTTAGGGTCAGATGGTTTTTTTGGTAGCTCTGGTTGTGTAGGTGACCTTGCAGTTGAATTTTCTATTTCCACCAAACTTTGCCTCTGAAACAGCTCTGCCATGTACTGCTAGTGGAACAGAACCTCAGGGATTTCAGCTCTTGGCCATAAAACTCAAACGTCATGGTGTGTTCCTTCTCCAGATGAGGCTTAGTTCTCTGGCTCAACAAAGTCTCTTAGGAACTTTCTTCCATTTAATGAGCTCTTAATATTCTAAGGGTCAGGTGGTAATGAACTCAGAAATTTTAAAAATGCCAATGGGAAGCGATCAGTATAGAGCTGATCAGGAGGAGTAGTAAATAGAAATACATGACTACAACCCCAAATTGGGCTGAAAGGGAAGGAAAAGGAATGGTATTCTTCCATTCTTCCTGCATCATGTGATGAATGCACTTCTTTAAAGGCGCTGTTAGCAAAAAGCATTTTGCCCTTTGCCAGTTTATATGTAACTAGACTGAAAATGTGGTTTGTTCTTAATGATGCTGCTACCAAAAATAACTTGAGTATTTGTGATGACCAATACAGAAAGAAGTTCTAGGTATGAATATTTTGATCTTGTATTGTTATGAGAAGCATACTGATGACATAACAGATACTTTCAGTAGTCAAGGTGGAATTGCACCTGAGATTACCTAGCTCTGATGAGAAGCCAACAACATTCTCCAGCAATTATTCTTGGATCTTTTTTACATTGTCTCCATTCACAATACAAATCCAACAATAATATTACTTTTCTTTGAAGCGGGATCTTTTTATAGACCATTCTAACAATGAACATAAGGTTCAAACTGTCAGAAGTGCTCTAGATGAGTAGCCTGGTGGAGATGTGTCGCGGTTTAGCCCCAGCCGGCAACTAAGCTCCATGCAGCTGCTCGCTCACTCCCCCATGGTGGGATGGAGGAGAGAATCGGAAGAGCTGCTCGCTCACTCCCCCATGGTGGGACTAATGGTCGGAGATAAAGACAGTTTAATAGATAAAGCAAAAGCTGCACACACAATCAAAGCAAAACAAGGAATTCATTCACTGCTTCCCATCAGCAGGCAGGGGTTCAGCCATCTTGAGGAAAGCAAGGCTCCATCATGCATAATGGTTTCTTGGGAAGACAGAC